TCTTGTTGAAGAGAATCTTCACCCGAATGACATCACCATAGACGCCTGAAGAGGGGGGAGAGAAAGTGAGCATTAGTACAATTGGCAATTGGAATGAGCACACAAGACAATGCTAAACCTGAAGAAGAGGTTAGCAAGTTAGAAGAGAAGAAGGTGAAGAATGGCAAAGAGAACAAATAATAAAACGTGAAACAAATTACCGAAAAGAGTAAATAAAGCGTCTGGCGTGGTGTGCTACAAACAACACAATAGCAGCAGAGTAGAGGAGAAGGAGAAGATTGAGAAAGTCACGAGAATGGCAAAATCATAAGAGAAGAAGAGGAGGGCAAAGCAAAATCAGAAGTTGCGAGCGGCGGAGAAGTGAGTGAGATTTCAGTGGGCAGTCAAGTAAACGAAAATGAAAGTGAAGTAGTACGGTAGTGGTAGTCCGGTAGCAAGAGAGAGTGTGGAGAGCAAAGAGAATGAATGAATGGGGCATCATCAAATATGATCAGAGCGTTTAGAGAGTGAGAGCAGAGGAAGAGCAGGGGAGCAGAGAGAAAAGAGAAAAACAAAACATAATTAGAATGCTGTGGGTGAATAATAAAATGAAAGAGTGAAAAAGAGATCGGAAAGAATCGGAATCGGAATTAGAATGAACAATTACTAAACTAGTGAGAGAATGAATGAATGAGAGAAGCCAGGAGGGGAACAACAACAACTGTTGGACACACAATCACGAACACACTTACCTCAGTGCTGAGGCCGCTGACGTGAATCACCGGACTGGTCATGACCAGACCGGTGAGGCCGGCGCCGGCGGCCGAGGCGGCAAACATGGCCGCCGAGGGCGACACTAGGTTCTGCAGACTGAGCGCCTGCTGGAGACTGGCGGCGGCCGCTGCAGAGCCAGCCGCCGCCGCCGCAGAATTGGCCGCGTGGTGGTAGCCCCGTGCGGCGGCGGCAGCAGCGAATTGCGCCGATCCATTCGAGTGATGGCTGCCAGGAAATCCGGGAAAGGTGAGACCACCAGCAGAGCCACCGCCACCAGCGCTCAGCAGATTGCCAAAGTGATCGGCGGAGCTGGCTGCTGCGGATAGCTGCGCAGCGACGCTGGCCGAGTCGACCACGCCGCCGCCAATGCCGCCGCCGTTCAGACTGGACGTGCNCGGCAGCAGCGAATTGCGCCGATCCATTCGAGTGATGGCTGCCCGGAAATCCGGGAAAGGTGAGACCAGCAGCAGAGCCACCTCCGCCAGCGTTCAGCAGATTGCCAAAGTGATCGGCGGAGCTGGCTGCTGCGGACAGCTGCGCAGCGACGCTGGCCGAGTCGACCACGCCGCCGCCAATGCCGCCGCCGTTCAGACTGGACGTGCTACCGCCGACGCCGCCAGCCGAGCCTCGATCACCACCACCACCACCTGATGCGCCGCCAAAGTTGCCCGCTCCGAGCTGAGGCTGCGTGTAGTCCCTCGACTTTTCATTGTTGTACTTGACAATGAGATTCTGCAGCTTGCTGTACTCGATGCGGAGGACGTTGCCGTTGGAGAACATGCACTGGCCGTCGAGTGAGAGCTTCGCCTGAATGGCCGAGGGAATGTCGCCAAACTGGACCAGCGCCTGGAAGACGCTGTTCTTCGTGAAGGTCANCGAGGGAATGTCGCCAAACTGGACTAGCGCCTGGAAGACGCTGTTCTTCGTGAAGGTCACAATCTTGAGGACCTTCCCGGCGCGGCTGAAGATCTGGTAGAGGTTGTCCAGGTTCACCACGTAGATCAGATTGTCGACGATGACGCGAATGACCGGCGAGGGCGTCGAGGAGGTGTCCTTGCCCATGTGGTGGTCGCCGTTCATTGCGCCGCCATTGTGCAGCTGGCCGTAGCCGCCGCCGTTGTGATCGTCAATGCCGCCCTGCTGCTCAAAGTGCTTCGTGTTGAGCTCCTTGTGGTTCGAGATCTGACAGGCAATGTGTCGGCCGCTGAAATGGGAGAGGGAGAGAAGGTGATTAGTCCCAATTGATCAATTTCTGTACATCACCACCACTACTCACCGAATGCTGGGCTGCATGGGCGAGGGCATTCCGCCGATGCTGGTCTGCTGCCAGTAGTTGGCCATCTGCATCGCCCCGAAGGGGCTCTCAAACTCCACAAAGGCCTGGTGCTTGCTCTTCACCAGCAGGTGCTTGGTGATGGCGCCAAAGGGAGACGCCAGCTGGTACAGGTCGCCCACGCTCGTGTCGTTGGGAATATTGCGCAGGTGGACGACTCGCGACTTGAGACCCTGCTGACCCTGGCCGCCGCCACCGCCTCCTCCGCCGC